ACAAAAAATTTTTCATTTCACTGCAATTTACAAAGAAACGCCTCGGCCGATCGTAGCGCAAAACTGACAAACTCTACTCCTCATCGAGATGCATCGTATGGCTTTTAAATTTTTGAAATAGGTTTAGCCGTTTTTGAGAAACGTCGACGAAAGGTCAAAAATATGTTGACACACACACATACTTTTCCCTTAAATTCGGTCTCATTCGATTCAGAATGTCTTGAGACGTCGAGCAAACATAAAATTAGCGAATCGGATTTTTGGATGAAAACAAACTTCTCCTTCAGGAGGATAATAAAATATTTTTCAATTCTACTGACAAGCAAATTTAATATCTCTATAATAAATAACCTGATTGAAAGAGCAAATCGATGCTTAATTTGTACATACCATTTATATTCGCAGACTCCATTGATGTTATACCGATTAAAATCGGTATACGAACGAAGTTCCCATCTTCGAAGACCTTACCAAAATTATATAAAAGAATTATATTATTATTATAATTTTTTAGGTATTATAAAAATTAAGCAATTATTGTCCAGAGTTTTTAAGAATTATGTTCACACATTGTGTATAGTTACTACACATTTGTGCAGTTGTGTATAAATATTCTTTCAAATTTTTTAAATTATAAAACTTTCTTACAAAAAATTGTTGAGTAATATAAATACCTCTTTTGGATTCAATGGTAGATATCGTTCGTTTTCTGGTAAAAAGTCATCCACCACTGCCATTGGTAAAGTGGAACGATTGCCACTCTGGAAATATAATAAAAATAACGAATCATTCGTCGAAATATATAAATAAGTCAAAAAATTATAATTTTCTTATTTTACGATTTGACACTTGATGTATGTCATCATCCAGTAATCAACCAGGCCAAAACATCTTAATAAAATATATTTACTTCTAAATTAAACACCAAAACAAAATTATTAGAAAGAGGACAATTCTATTATTTAAATTCATCATGAAACAAAAAATCATACTGCCCCGTATAAGTGACAAATCAAAATATGATGGAATGATGACACAGATCAAGTGTCGAAACGTATAACAATAAAGATATTTTTTCTTATCTTATATAAAATATGAGACGAACAAATTAAATCATAAACTAGAAAATGAAACGATAGATTCTACTGAAGAGCTAACTTTGATCGAAATCTAGATAATAACAAAAGAGACTCTACTGACAAGCAAACTTTAATTTTAACCTTGAAGTGAAAAAAGGTACTTTACTGACGAGCAAACTTTAACTAAAATCTACAAGATGACAAAAAGAAACTCTACTGACGAGCAAATTTAATTTCAAACTAAAAAATAAAAGACTACAGACGAGAAAACATCTAGAAGATAAAAAAGGGACTCTACTGATAAGCAAACTTAAATTTAAATTAGTACTCTACTGATGAACAAACTTTAATTTTGATCTAAAAGATAAAAGGGACTCTACTGATGAGTGTTATTATTTTAAATTTTTACCTGTAAGATGGGAAAAAGGGACTGTACTGACAAACAAACTATAATTTTGATTTAGAAGATTAAAAAGTGACTCTACTGAGTAGCATACTTCAATTTTGATCTAAAAAATTAAAAATGAACTCTACTTTTATTTTATTTTCATTCTGCAATCTATAAAAATAATTATATTTAGCAGAGAATGCTGACAAGTGAGTGAGTGACAAATGAACTCTACTGACGAGCAAACTTTAATTTTAACCTAGACGATGAAAAAATGGACTCTTCTGACGAACAAACTTTTACTTTGATCTAGAAAATTGTAATAATGGACTCTACTGCCAAGCAAAATAAATTTGAAACTAAAAGATGAAAAGCCGGTGACGACCAAACTTTAATTTTAATACAGAAGATAAAATAGAAACTCCACTGACGAGCAGATTAATTTTCTAGAAATATTTTCTATGGTTAAACAACGTTTGTCGGGTCATTTAGTATAAATTTTTTTTTCAACAGAGAAATAAAATGAATTTTTCACGTTATGTAGAAATGATAAATGAGACTTAATTTGCTAAATTATTTTACGTGGTAATTTTAGTTTTTTTAGGGTGGTCCTTAATATGGATATTTCAAATTTCGTTGCTCCCAGGGGCTCAAATGCTTCCAAATTGATAAAAAAAAATTCTCTGATAGTTTTAACTCTTAGCATTAACTTTAAGATAGTGCGCACTTCAATCAAAGTTTCTTATGGAAATAACATGGGTAAAATTTCATTTAATAATTTAGCGACAAGTGAATCAAAATGTTGAGAATGACATTATTTTTGCTTAATTTGATCGTAAATAAAAAATACAACGAAAATTTAATTTGAAGTATTTACTTAGGATTAAGAACCAAGAAACTTTAATTGAAGTGCGGACTATCTTAAAGTTAATATTAAGAGCTAAAACTTTCAGAGAATTATCTTTTATCATTTTGGAATCATTTGAGCCCCTGGGAGCAAAGAAATTCGAAAGCATCCATATCAAGGACCACTCTAATATATTTATGTCTTTTACCTGATATATTTCTTCATATGCCCTCAACAAATCGTCCTTGTCCAATTGTTTAAGGCATTGCAGTGCCTGTCTATAGTCGCCAGTTGGACAACCCAAACTTTGGGCAATTGTCAGAGATCCGACACTGGCCAAAGTTGGCCTTTGGCCAGTTTTTGGTCCAATCGACACTGCTATGTTCCTCAAACCGCTACTCGACATTAAAATCACACGATGGAACAAACCTAAAAGATACATAATAAATATAAAAGATATAGTTTTTGTTCTGTCGATATGTAGTTTAATAAAAACAACATTCGGCAAAACGTCCTTGGAACAAATAATCTTGATTTTTGCTTAAGACGTTCAATATTAATAGGAATTCGATGTACAAATTAATTTAAAACAATTCCAAAAATTCGACACATTCAAATTTATGTTCAGTGAACACATTTGCATGTTAATAATAATAACTAGTGGTGTATGGCATCGTGCTTTAAGGCAAATTGCTGGAACTTCCCGTACCGTAATAAAATATTCGAGAAATTTTAGACGTTTTCAAATATATTTACAAATACAGTGTAACTTTCATTATTTTTGCATTATTTTGTTATATCTGAGCAAATCAAATGTAAATCATAAATCAATTTATCTCCAGAACATTAACAATCGTCATTTCATTTCGAATTCAATTTAAAAAAAAACATAGTTGCCTAATTTATACAAAATTGAAAAAGTGCTTCCGTATAGTCACAGTCTAAACGCATTTGCTAATAATTCTGTGCGACATTTTCACTTATACTCTGCTTAGCTTAGCGGCATTTTCACATTTTTCAATAGTTTTCACAAAATTGGAAAAGTGCTCCAGTGCATACGCACAGTCTAAACGCACTCGGGTAAACATTTGTACCAGAGTGGCGCTTAGACTGTGCTTAGCCTGGGTCATTTTTTTAGTTTTTAATCGAAAATTATAAAAAAATATTTTATGAAAAATAAAAAAGATGTAATAATTTTTGTTTTGTCAATACAAGCAGAAAGTTTTTTAGATCATTCAAATCGGACGCGCTTAGTTCACTCAAAAACTGCCTCTTTTTGCACATTTAGCTCTGTATCTTCGAAATTGCGGGACCTGCCTTTGCCAAAAACTAATCACATCTTTTCCCAATCATTACAAATTGAATGTTTTACAGATCATTCAAATCCGATACTCCGTTCTCTCAAAAACTCGATTTGTCTTTTCTGCACTCTTAGCTCCGTATCTCCGTAATGGCCGGACCTGCCTTTGCCAAAAACTAATCAGCACATCTCCCTATCAATGGTGATCGAATGTTTTTTAAACCATTCAAATCGGTTGGTCCACACACACACACACCCACATCCATTAGTTTTCTGAGGTATGCCTCTTAAAAATGTTCAGAAACCTTCAAAACGTCGAGAAATGCAAAAATTTTCATTTTCGATTTTTGGCCCATTACTAATGTATGCAATGGAATGATTTAATTACGTAAATAAATCCATGACTACTTTTATAACATTTTTTTCTCCGTTAATGTTATGTAACATAACTATAATCATTTTCATTTTGTCAATTTTCCATTGACTGATTTCATACAAAAATATTTCAAAAAATAACAAAACAAAACATGAGGCCTTGATACAATTCGGTTTGTTTGTTTTGACCCTGAAAAATTCGAACAATGGGTCAATTGATATTTGTCGATTTGAAAACAACTTTTGAATCAGGAGGAAAATACAGCCAAAAAATACAGACAAAATTGTATCCATACATACACACACATCCATTTTTTCTGAGGTACGCCAAAATGTTCAGAAACCTCTAAAACGTGAAGATATGCAAAAAATTTCATTTTCGATTTTCGGTCCATTACTGTAACTTACTCTTAGGGAAAATACAACAAAAATTCAAAATGTTAAAAAAAACTAATTTTCCCAAAAAGTCAATTTTTTCCAAACTTTTCGATATTTTTGGGAATATTTACGTTTCGATACTACATGTTGTCATCATTTAATAAATAAAACCAGGATAAAAATAAAAACTTGAAACACTGATAAATGTTTCTAATAAAATTGAAATAGGTAACAGGCATCACATAACTGATAATTTGTAACTAATAAAAATGAATAACTGCTTTCTGGGAAGGCAGGTCTAGCGGTTTCGGAGATCAAGTGAAAAAAAGTAAAAAACCCGTTTGGCGTTTTTATCAGATATTTTATGAAGATTATAATAAGTACAATGTTTGTGTGCATTTATATGGGTTCCTTATCCAATGTTTACACGTTAGACGTCTACGCGGCGCTTACGCGCTTCGATATTTCGACAAAAAATAAAAAAAGGTCAAAATATACAAAAATCATTTTTTTCCAAAAATTTAAATTGTTTCAAAAATCTAAACTTCTCAAAAAAAAATTTTTTTCTCGAAGTTTTTTTTTAACGATTTAGTTTTCGGTATGGGAAGTTCCAGCAATTTGCCTAAAGACACGATGCCATACATATCCAATGCTATACTAGTGTCTAAACAAAGATTTCCACAAGCACAAGATGCAGAATTTCAGTTTGTTCTGCACTATACTGATTTCCATAATCAGATTTCACACATTCTTAGTAGTAAGATATCTTAGAATTAAGCATTTGTATTGAATTTAGTATAGTTTTGATATTTTCATCATTTAAAACGTGGCACCATCTTTAGGCGCAAATGGTAAATAACAGAAGATCTGATACA